GATGTTTCTTAAATAGCAATTTTAAAGTTGTTCTCACACCCAATACCTGAATATGAGTCACCCAGACTTTCAGTAAAGGCTTTCCACTTGTATTTTTATTCATTTAAATTGAGAAAATGTGGCAAAACACATTCTCAGTTTCTGTTATTCCGTATTAATACCATATTTGTACATATTTATGATGCAGACCTGCTGTGCAGAGCAACTTAGTTCTATACTTCCAGCTCCAACAGCCACAGCAGTTTTTGATCCATCGCTGTTTATTTTAGTCCCCAAGTTATGCAAGAAGTGCTGCAAAACTATACATGCAATATATACACATACAGATTTATAGGCTTTAAAGGGAAAATATTTATTTTACATTACTATTTACATTGCATTCTTCGAAAATAAAAAAATAACAAAGTCAGGACAATAAGCTCAACATCTTCTCCATAAGGGAGTATATCAAATACTTGAAATATTAAAAATATCCAAAAAGGGAAAAAAAGGAAAACTGAGTGTTTGAAAAGGTCAAATGTGTCATGTCATTGAATCACAGGCGTAACTAAAAGGAATGAGAGACAAGAGGAGGTCATAACTGAAAAGAAACGGCATCAAGAGAATGTGTACTTAGGTAGTGAGAAGTGTGCTGCGTATATGAACAGGAGGGCGTGTATGTGAATAAACAGTGTGCAGAGCAGCCAAATAAACACAACAGGTTTTCCATGAGGAAGTGTCAAACACCAAATTATGAAAAAAACAACAATCTCCCCAAAATATCAGCCAATATATTTACAAGGAAACTCATATTCTCAAATCACAGAAGGGTGAAAGCATCGAAGCATGCAGACTAAATTTTTTTTCACCCTCCCTTCCACATTAAAAGTAACAAATGGTGTAATATTGATAAACCACTGAAGCTAATCATCGTCGTCACAGACTAGCTGGACAACCACTTTGTCTTTGAGCGCCTCGTTTTCTCTGTAAACGTACACTGGTGCACCACTTTCAGACGGGCTGGGTTCCCAATCCGTTTGCTCTTCACTTCTTTCTTTCTCGTCCTCACAGAGCAGGTCATCGTACGAGTTAACGCACAGGTCGTGGTCCTGAAGGGGAAAGGGGTATCGGAGCGAGGCTCTCTCGATTCGCACTGACCGCCTAACCGGGGTGAAGAAGCGAACCTCCTGACCGTTGACCTTTACTGACTCTCTCTGTTGACTTGGAGGGCCACTAAGTGAAGATAAAACATAATTAATTATAATCCACAGAAAAAAAAAACCCATCTTGCTGTAAACACTGTAAATAACTCATCATTTCTTTGTTAAGCTGCTTGGATATGATTCTCATTGTGCATATTTTTTCTTTCTTATTGCTTCTGACTTGTGATTAAAACAAAAAGCATACTTCAAACAGAATAAGGAAAAAGGTGAAACCAAATAAAGCACACAGATCAGTGAAAAAGGTTCTAACATTACAG